CATAGATGAGCAAGACATGCCGAAGAGCAACATGGACCAGCAAGTCAACATCGAGGGCAGCTGGAGGCTCCACTGCCCCACCAGGTGCAAATCCAGAAGGAAGTACAAAGGCTCGTAGCAGAGTAGCTGTGTGGATTCCAGTGCATTGACATTACCGACGATGCCCTCCGTAAAGACGTGGCTAACCTAAGCAGGTCACCCTTTACAGACGAGATCGAGTAGACGGAGCCACCGCGGAAGTTCAACCCGCTACATTTCACCTTATTCAAAGGAGATGGAGATCCGGTCAGGCACTTAATGCACTAGCGAAGTGTCATGACCTTTTACGCCAACAATGACGCGCTCATGTACAAAATCTTTGTTGTGACGCTCCAAGGTGAAGCGCAAGACTGGTTCCACACCCTGCTACCATGCTCAATCCTGAACTTCAACAAACTTTCTTTGGTTTTCACTAAGGAATATTCATTCCGCTCGATAAAAAAAGAAGTCTGACCATCTTTTCAACATGAAGAAGGACCCGAATGAGTCGCTCTGCACATATGTTAAAAGGTTTAAGGCGAAGACAACGAAGATCGTCAGATACGATGACAACATTGCATGTTCAGCTTTCCGGAAGGGGCTCCTGGCAGAACACCCTTTATTCGGAAAATTGATCATAGGAGGATAGCTGACCTTGGCAGCCTCGTATGCTTTGGCAGAGAAGCACGCACTACGGGACGAAGCCAAGCAGTCATGCGGGAGCAAGCAAAAAAATAAGCGCATGGACCATTCCCCAAACAGAGATGACTCAGCGCCTAAGGCATTCACCAAGTTCACGGTTCCGATTGGCCAAATTCTCTGTAAGCTTAAGAATGAACCATGGTTCGAACTACCGCCACCCATGAAGGGTGATCTTACCAAACTGAACCAGACAAAGTATTGCGCATTCCACCAAGGGTCGAGGCACACTACCAAAGGCTGCATGAAATGGAAGCAGTACCTCGAGGAGCTGATGAATGAAGGCTGGTGCGACGAATATCTCGACAAGCCAGTTGATCGGCCTACGCAAGAAGCGGAAGCCAACACTAAACCTCCATTAAAGATGATGCGGATTAATGGCATATTTGCCAGGTCAAAGCATTCTCAGTCCACAATTAGCAATGTGAATGAATGCTTGGAGAAATCCCCCATTACCTCCTAAACTCCGTTAAGGTCTATCCAAATAAGTTCGAAGCCTCAGCCAGTTCAACGAACCCCGTAAGCCGAGGATTATCCCAGTTGTTATGCAATTTCTACCTTCCAGCATAGTTGATACATTTCTTTATTCTCAATAAAGATCCAAGAAGTTATTCACAATCCTAGTTCAACTGCTGCCTACAACAACTGCTCAAAGCCTCATATGGGTATGCTCTCAAATGCGATAGGTTAAATTAATTCCCTGACACCCATCTGGGTCTGCTCTCCAGTACGAGAGGGTAAACTAATTTCCCGACACCCATCTAGGGTCTGCTCTCCAGTGCGAAAGGGTAAACTAATTTCCTGACACTCATCTATGGTATGCTCTCTAGTGTGAGAGGGTAAACTAATTCCTTGACACCCATCTAGGGTCTATTCTCCAGCGTGAGAGGGTAAACTACTCTGGAATATCCAGACGTGGATGGGTTTTACGACTGCTCAGTTCCCCCTGAATGGATCGATTACTTGCGCTGGACGACTCCTCGAATTGGCCACGATAGTCCTTCCCCTGGAATAAACTTAGCCAACTGAAGGATTCAATTATGCGGGATCCTGGGTCTCTAACCGGAAGAGACACTAAGTGTAGGACCCCTGCCTATGAAAAAGTTCATGTGACAAGATGGTCCGTCCTCGACGTGCAAGTCTTCATGAAGCGGCTTGGTTTTAAAGTGTTGCAATACTAGTTAAGCGACATGCGAGATCAAAGTTGCGACTCGGAAGGATATGGCCTCTGAGGAGCGACTTCGCCTACACCTCACGCCAAAAAATGCATCTGAGAACTAGGGATGATGCCTGAAGTGGTTACGCGGGTCGTCTACTTTTGTAAGTAAGGCACCTGGCCGATAACCCGACGGCTAAAAGCCCAAGGTAGCCCGTAAGCCAAAACTTACACCTGCCATGACTACGCGGACTTGCTTGCTTATTTACAAGCAGCGCTTCCGGCCAACAGTCTATGGTTTAAGTTTTGCTAGGACAAAGTCGAGTGTCACGACTATAGCAGCTACGTGGACCTCATCTGCTTCATACAAGAAGCACGAGTTCGGTCGATGTCTCTATGAGTAAAAAATCTCGCAACATGTCCAGGGAAGGCCAAAGCTCAAGAAGCCACTAAATTCGAGTGTCACGACTATAGCAGCTACGTGGACCTCCTCCATTTCCTACGAGAAGCATGAGTCCGGCTGACGACATGTTTATATATTCCTGCAGGTTTAATTTTGCATGAAAAACTTCGGGTTTTCATGGGTGATGTTTTTAAAAAAACTTCAACAAATTAAAGTGTGGGTGAAAAAATATAAAAACCCATTGGGCCTAAAAGAATTAGGCAAATAAAGCTCAAGGCCCAAAAGAAAAAAAAAGAAAAAAAAGCCTATGGGTGGCTTAAAAAAATTGTGCTGTGTATCCCAGGCCCAAGAATTGGGCTGGGGGTCTCGGGTAGGACTGTAGGCCCACGAAGAGGTATGGGCTGTTGCGGGTAGACCTAAAAGTTAAAAAAAAAGTTCACGGGCCGAAAGAATAGGCTATTGCAGGCAAGCCCAAAGGCTAAAAAAAAATTCATATGGGCCGCTTCAAGCGAGCCCAAAAATAAAAATAAAATTGTTTTTTTTCTTTGTTTTCTTTGCAGGCGGGGGAAACGGGTGGGTCAAAAACAGGTTTTTGGGTCATTGCAGGTGAGCCCAAGGCGAAAAAACGGGCCAAGAAGGGTTCGGGTTTTGGAACCAAGAACACCCCAACGTGTGCTGGGTGCGTTTCGCCGGAGAGGGTGATCGGCGCCGCCACTTCAGGTGGCTAATTCTAGGGCAAGGGGAACTTGGGGCACCCTTGTTGGGTGTATTTGACCACAATTGTGAATCAGAGATTGGGAAATCTCAATGATTCAACCAAAAACCTAGAAATTAAAATCGGAATTTCAAGAAATCCGATGAGATTCGATGGAATCTTCAACCAAAGGACACCATGGATGAACTTCAGGTCGTTAGGGAGGTAGCCGAGATGGATGGGCAAGGCTGCATGCCGTGCAGCACGGTGGCGACTAGGGCTGGGCACGGGTTGGGCCAGGCCCGATTTTGAAAGGACCAGATTGAACCTGGGCTTAAAAGAAACGGGGCAGGCCGGGTCGGGTACAAGAAATTCTAATACAGGAACCAAACCTAACTCGGCCCGTTTGAAACGGGCCGGGTCCACGGGTCCCTTTTTTTTTTTCTTTTCCTCTTCTTCTTTAGCTCTCTCAAATTCTGATTGTTCCAGGAGATATCGGACCACCACGTTCTCCTACGCGAGACCGAGATCGATATCGGTGACCTCGTCGTTTACCCAAAGCTTGATTTCCTGCAGTTCCTATCCTCACCGGAGACCCGCCAGCGAATCCCTATCACTGGCAAGGTCAACTTGAGCGCGATTTCCCACACTGGACCGCCGCCGTTACTCCGTTGCACCTATGCACCTCAAGACTGCCGCTGCCTAACCCGTGTGTGTTCAGATTTGACTAAGACCTTGACCAACCACCATCTTGTGCCTGTCTTGAACCTCTGCTACTGCTTGTTGTATGGTCCTTATGAACCTCCCGCCCAGATCGTCATCGCATAATGCGTGTTTGAAGCCTGTATTCCACACTCGTTGCTCCCTTTCGCCGCATCTTTTCCGTTCAGCCGAGAACCTGCATAGACGAACACCGCGCCAGATGGATTGTGGGATTTAATAAAAAATGGAGATTAAATTTCCACATATTAGATAGCAGATATGGTCCGGGCTGGGGGCCTGTTTTCTTAGCAATTTGGACCCGCCCCGCCCCGTTTTAGATTTATACAAATTAGACTCGCCCTGTACCTGCCTCGATCCGCTTGTACCTGCCCCTACCTGCGGGTCCAAGACCCGTTTGACCACCCCTAGTGGCGACACCTTCTGGGTGTCGGGTTCAAGGTTTTGGGTTGGGAGCAGAAGCTCCAGCTGAGTTCTTGGCTCAGGGGCCCATCGGCAGGGATGGGAGAGGGCACGGGTTCGAATGAACCCTAGGTTTCCTGATTGCAAAAAAAAAATTGTTTTTTATTATTATTTTTTCAATTCAATTCATATACAATTCAATTAAAAACATATTGAATTTGATGCATATACAAATATATTTGATGCAATTCATAACCAATATCAAATTCACATAATTCAACAATTATGATTATGGGGGCATAGACAATTTATGTAGAATCTAAAATTCGTAAAACGTAAAGTTGGGTCATGCATCATGGTGAATGTTCGTGCTACCAGGGCTGCAAAAATATCAAGTTAAAAACCGTTGTTCTGAAAGAACCTAATTACGTAATGATATGGATGAACTGGTTTGATGCTGAAAAATTCTTCAATGTCAGATTCCTAAGCGCAATGGTAGGAACGTGCTGATAATGTGTTGTAGCCTATTTTTTTTTACAAGTTTTGGGTGGTCGGCGACAAGGAGAAGAGAGAGTGAGAGATATGTGTTTGTAGGATTGCAGGGGAATATGTGTTGTTATCTTTCTTACATTGTACCTTTATTTATAGTAATAAAAGAGAGAAGATATTCCTTCTTTCTCAAGTAATACAAGTTGTAATAGGAAATAATAATTAGAATCAAATCAAATCTAGAATTTACAACAACACACTATGTACAAGCTAATATGATATTTCAAAAACAAATCGGAAACAATAGTAATGTAATTCCAAATAAACGCGTTGCAGATGCGGAGAAGAAGGAGCGAGAAAAGAGGAGGGTAATAAAGTAATTTTGAATAATGTGTTGCAGGTAGAGGGACGAAAGAGCGAGGAAACTTTGGGTTGGGATGGGGGTGGTGGTGGTTGTGAAATCCAAAATGCTATATGAGGTAGACAGACCATAAGCACCAAATGTACCGACTATAGAAACCAAAATCCCGAATTGCTATATGACATTCTGCTCTCCGTGAGAAAACGCCAGTGTCGTCCCGAGCAAAACGCCCAAATGCCTTATTTGCCAAATGCTCATCTCCTCTCCGTGAGAAAACCCCAGCGTCGTCCCGAGCAAAACCCTAGAACCTTGTCTCTTTTCAGCTTTTCTGCTGCTTCGAAGCCCAAAGTTGAGGTTCAATCCTCTGCCAAAATATCGAACCCGAAACAGGGAAGCCCAAAGTTGTGATACGCGATCTGTAAATATAGTCCCTGCAAGAAGATGGATGCTCAATTGAGATCCCTCCCCACCTCATTTCCCTCATGCCGTGGCCTAAACCTTATGTGGTAGGTATTTATTTGTTTAATTGTTTACCTCAACTTCTTTTTCTATTTCATTTTGCAGATCGTCGGGAATATATGTATATCAAGTTCTATTACTAATCTTGATTTTTTTTTATATGTTTTACATTAAGGAAGGAGGAGTTTGGTTAAGATACGCAATGAAGAATCTTATTTGATATCAAATTCAATATCTACAAAATTCGAAGTCAACTAAGTATGATTACTAACAGTGGAACAATGGCAACCTCTCTTTTTAATTCTTTTTATATTTTTGGTCGAAGCCTCTTTTTTTTATTTTTTTAATAAATAACATTATTTATATTAAAAAAATAAAGGGTAGATTTAACTTTACAATGAACTAGGAACACCATCCTATCGTACTATTAAATGATTTATTAGTTTATTTTTAGATCATCAGGATTGATTGAGAAGACCTACGAGAATTCCGTTTAAGGCAATCATCTCAATTTGTAGGACTAGGATGTGATCGGATAATTGTAGAATTCAAAGCCTTCTGCAGAATTTGATTAATTCTCCCAACAATTAATACTGCTAAACATAAAAGAAAATGCCAATTTTCCACTTAGTGGAAAAATACTTTGTTGTTGTTGAACAATGATCTATTTATACACAGAAGCTATCCTGGCTGAAAAAATAATTCTGTTGTAAAACAAAAAAAAACCAAACAACTTGCATCCTCCGCCGCTGCTGCCATCCGAAGGACCTCCAGACTCCAACCAGTTGCCAGAAAGCAAGCCAAATCGAGCCCCCAAAGTGGAGAAAAAGAAGGCGTCAACAACCGCCAAAAGCACATCGAAGATCGGCACCACAAATCGTAGGAAGCTCGCAGGAAACAACCCACGAGCAACAGAGGCAACAAGGAAGTCAAGGGAAGAAGGTGGTGAGAACAACCGAGCATCGAAAAAATCCGAAGCTCTACACATCTCCCTCCTAAACGGGCGTTCACGGTGTGGATTAGTGGAAGCCGATCTAGAGGATAAGGGCACTGGAGGAGTGAGCCAAGTGGAAAGGGTAGGGTGTGGAGGGATGAAAACGAAGTAGGTGGAGGGAAAAGGAAAGGAAGAAAGGGGAGTTGAGGAAGGGAAACCAGAGGCAGCAGAGAGAAGAGGAGAAGGTCGAACCAGGTAGAGGACAAAACAAGCAGGACAAAAGTAAAGAAAAGGAAAACAAGAGGAGCAAGCGGCTACCACCAACCCTAGCCATAGCTAGGATCAGTGGCAGCGAGGAGGAGAACAGAAGCTGAAGAAGCACTCACACGCAGGCGGTGAGAAGAACTCTCACGAAGGAGAGAGACTCTTAACTAATTTTGAAACAACCAAACTGAAAGCGAATACGACAGGAGAAGGGGACATTTGTAGAGGATTAGGAACATGGCGACGGTGGAAATGATACTGCACTGCTGACCAAATGCATTGAACAATGGCCTGACCTAGTCCATAAATTTGAGGGAATGTACCAAAAAGCATGTTTTTGGGATGTGGATAGTGAAAACACGGTAGCATTCCCGGCCTCCTCAATTCAACCCCTTCCTTTATAGCATTTTGAAGGAGCTCGCACATGAAAAGAAGTACAGCCACAATTGTCAACAACATGCTAATTAATGCGTAGTGAGGACTTCTTGGGGAGGAAAACTGATCGAAAGCCGATGCCAGAATCTCGATGCCGCAGCCAGTGAGTAACAGGATCCACTGTGATGAAGTAACCTGCAGTACAAGTTCTAGTGAGTAATAGGATCCACATTAAGTTCTAATTGTTTCATTAAAACCTGGGGTAGGATTAGATATTTGATCTTTAGCTTAAATGTCAAAATAGTCTCCGTATTATAGCCATATGACCAATTTAGTTTCCGTGTTTTTGATTTGGCTAATTTAGTTCTCGTGTTTGTCTTCTTGAGCCAATTAAGAACATTTCATTCAATTTCTTTTAAAAATTGATAAGAAAAATTATATGCGATATAATTAGCCTTTATCTTTATATATATATATATATGTATATATATATATATATGTATATATATGTAAATGATTAAGGTTGTGACATAGAAAAATGATTAAGAGATAATACTTCCAAATTGAAATATGATTAAGGTTGTGACATAGAAAAGAGAGGGGACAATGTTAGGGCGGAGGTCCGGAAGTTTTGAGGAGAATAATTTTTTTTTTAATTTTTATTTAATATTATTTTTAAATCATTTAAAAATAAGTTTATAATAATTTATAAATATTTTACAGAAATTTGATGAAAATGTCCTTAATTGGCTAACTAAGATAAACACAAGAACTAAATTGCCCAAATTAAAAATACAGAGATTAAATTGATCCAATAACTAAAATACAAGGATGACTTTAACATTTAAGCCTCTATCTTATTCCCCCATGTCATCATGATTATTATAACTCATATTTTGTTGTTTTTAAACTCTTTAATGGCTCTTTTTGTTCCCATTGTGCCCCTATAATTAATTATTCCACCTTCTTGGTATGTCCACATTATTAGGAACTAATTTTGACTTTGATTATTTTATGCTTGATTTCTTCCATGATAGATTTTTCATATCATCATGCCTAAATTACAAGATGAAAAAAGTCAAGGTATCCTTTGAAGTTGCATCCTAAATGGCTGATGCTCATTTTGAATTTTAAAAAAAAAAATCAGAAACCATTTAATAGCAATATTTAGGGGTAATACAGGAAGACAAAACATAGTAAATTACATAAAGGAAATTAAATATGACGTGAAATATAAATGTTGATTTGGACAGGTGTCAAACAATTAAAATTAGTTTTTAATCTTATTTACTGTATTTATTTAAAAGTAATCATTTTTTAGGACTAAAAGTTTTCTATTTTTTTATTAGAAAACATAGTATCTTCCGATCCCATGGATAAAAACAAGCGGACAAAAGCTCAAGACCAATACTCGCTTCATATGGCGTTGCTCGTCAACGAGGCCCTGCAATCAAGAGTTGTAATCGCCCAAATTACTTCAAAGTTCATTTGATGATAAACGAATACGAGAAGAAAATATTTGTTTTAAGAGCTAAGAGTCTAAGACAAGGAAAGTTTGATCAAAGGATAAGTTAAAATTAATGGTGCGCACCTCTCGATCTGAAGCACTTTCAGAAAGCTCAGATTCGACATGCACAGTGACCACATGACGACACTTGTGGCAGTAGTACCTAGTTGGAATTGCTTCCTCCGTTGTATTTATCTCGTTCATCTCCCAACTACCTTTTGCTGCACAACCGGATATGGACTAGAATCATAAAGAAATAACTGTAACATAACGAAAAAAACAGCCAACCAACAGGCAACAGCCTTGCGTTTTTTAGAGCAACCGTACGCACGTTCCATAAATTGATGTGCAGCTTTGATAATCAAGGCTGCGATCCGCAACTTGAGCAAGGGCTGGGAAGGGAGAACCTGAGCAGCAAGTTCGTGATTGGCAGTGCCATTGGGCGTCACTACTCCTCCGACTTTGACATTGCTGTCGGTGGGCGTCACTACTCCGACGACGGCACCAACATTGCTGTCTTTCGGGTAACTTTTCCTCTGCATCTCCATCACCAAGGCCTCCTCCCGCTGTTGAGGCTATCAATTAATATGTTTATCCTTTATAAATCTGGTGATCTATCTATATATGAAATCTTTAAGGAAATGAATCCTATTTTTTAATAAAAATAAGAATTAGTTGTGGGATTCATACCACATCGATTTTTAACAATCCAAACTGTCTATTTTCCAAATTGCACCTCATAGATCATATATATCTATATTAAGCCAACACAAATGATGAATAGTATTTTTGGTGTCACTAAGCTTCAACAAAAATTTTGAACAAAAATGCTCCTAAAACAAAAAACTTCAAAGCCATATCAAAACAATGCAGGAATATTTTGTCATTTTAAAAATATTTTTTTAATAATTAATAATTTTTTATTTTTTTAATTAGTAACTCACAATAGGCTAGTCATAATATAATTCAATCAGCTCTTCATTCAATATTATTTTCTTTATTTTTAATCACGTTCAAAGCATTTTAAAAAATCTTTCGCACGCAGATAATAATGTGGATTTAGTCGTTCATTCAATATTATTTTTTCTACAGACACCGATTTTATTATGTGGATTCAGCTGCTTTAATTCTTCTATATGTAAAGCCAACACAAAAGATGAATAATATTTTTGGTGTCACCAAATTGGACAAAAATACCTCAAAGACAAAAAACTTCAAAAGCATTCCAAAATAATGCAGAGGTATTTTCGTCATTTAACAATGTTTTTTTTAATAATTAATAATTTGTATTTTTTTTAATTAGTATCTCACAATAATATGATTAAATTAGTTATTTATTCAATATTATTTTCTCTATTTTTAAACACATTTAAAACATCTTAAGAGGGATGTAATACCGATTATAAAAAAAGTATTTCACATACGATTAAATTAGTTGTCAAATACTTATTTTTTTTAACAAAAAAGAAATGAATGTGAGCTTACCTCAAAATAAATTGGATTGGAACGGTGCAGTTCTCCGAGCATTTTTCTGGTGGGTTTTCTGGTGGTTTATATTTTCCTTTTGGGGTTCTCTCTTATCTCACAAGAGGTGCAGTTCTCCGAGCATCTTTCTGGTGTCTTATTTATACTTTTTCTGGTTCCGTCCTTCCTTTTTCTGGTGGGTCCTTTACTTTCCGTCATTTTTCTGGTGGGTCCTTTACTGGGTGAACCCGGCCTTTTTCTGCCTTTTTCTGGTAGGTGGGTCCTTTAAGATCCTTCCTTTTTCTAACCCAAAACCCGGTGTTCCTAAAAGTTGTCTTTTAGGTTCTAAACCCCCTCCTGGGTGAACAAAAACCCGGTGTTCATTAACGGTGTTCATAAAAATAATTTTTTTTTCCTTTTTTGCGCCACAAACTATGTGGCTGGATTTAACTCCTATAATCATTTGTTTCTATTTGTTTATCATTTTTTTGTCCAAAAACTAATGTGTTTATCCACGGGGTAAAACAATTGGTGATTGTTTTGTTTATTATATATATATAATTGTTTTTCTGATGAACTCTCACTGACTGTTGCAACTTCTCTCTCTGAAAGTGGGTTTTCTTTTTTATGCATGTTATTATTTTATTTCTCTCTCACTGTTTCTTATATCTACCTGTCCATTATCCGTACTTGTTACATACAAGATTCTAAGAGCTTTCCCTTTAGTTAAGGTGTGGTTTTTCTAATTTTGCTCTTTCCTCCGTCAAGTTTGCTTCGATCATTTTAATTTTGAATTCTGTTGATAATTGCAAGTGTACAATATCGTCCAAGTAATATAGTGATAAATAGAGTGTCGTTCAAAACCCTTTACGCTAAATGGATAATTTCCCAATACTACAAAAATCATAACCAATATGTCTACTCAATTATGTAATTCATGGTAATTGTTATGAGAAACAGTCCACTAAACTCAACCTGTCAGTCACAATTTAGTTATTCACACAAATAATGGACAGTTATTTGATAACGATAAAGCACAATAACAATTACTCCACATGGAAAACAACCGAGATCAATATAAAATAACAAGAATTAGAAGTTCATGATGAGAGTACACCCTAGTCCTAGCAAAAGGACTGAAAAGCAAAGGTGTTACAGTTATCACTTCCATCGATTAATGAAAACCAATGCATGCCAATCACACTTCCAAAACTAAAGTTATGCCCTTATAAGTCAATGCATCACAATGGAAAGTATGTAGCCAACATCCCAAGCACTCGGGCTTAAAAACATCCACACTTTGGCGTGTGTACAAATTCGCTTCGACTCTAAGCCTCACTAGATATCACTCCATTTTCTCACAGAACCTAGGCTTTCTCTCTTAAACAAGCATATGTGATGAGTTTACGCAAAGGGAATCAATATATAATCACATATGATCAACATTGAAAAACAGCAATTTATGAAAATAGATCTCATGAAAGGAATCAAATACTAAGAACATAGGTATCAACCTTCACCAAATAAGCTAGACTTCCCTATAAATCCGTTAGGTCTTTGAAACGGTTGTAACGTAAGGCTAGGTATTTGGGCTAAGAAAGAAAGGATAAGGAAAAACATGAACTTGAGAAACACCAAAACTTCTTTGTATGTATGTAGGCTAGCACCCCTTTGAAATTTGATGCGATCCATGGCGTCCAGGACTCATGTTATAATGAATGGTACAATTTCTCTTCTTTTTCTTTTTCTTTTTCTCGACTCTTTTTTCACTTTTTTTCTTTTGTGGAAAACAACTACAAGAAATATTAATAAGACACATGGTACCTCGGTACACGCCACTATTTTGATGTAGTACTCAACCCTGATTTCTTTTGGTATCACCTTGGTATCTCTCAAGCTATATGGTATGGCTAATATAGGGTAGGAAATAGGCTAAGTGTTTGGCTTCAATGGGGTTAATGGAGCATACAAAAGGGTAGGAAATAGGCCTTTTAGTAGTGGAAAACACACATAGCCTAACATCGTTTTTATAGTTCCGTCTAACCCAATGACAAAAATACCCAACATATATTAAAGTTCTTTAGTACCCAATGCAAATTAATGTTAAAGAGATCATAAAGAAAGAAATTGAAAAGTGTTTTAAGAGTAGAAACAAATTAACCCTCTCAAGAAAAGCATAGGCTCAACAACTCACATGGGTAGTCTCCACTATTTCTCCACATCATCCAAACATGGACAATTTGTCCACCAAAGTACTTGAGACATGGCAAAATGAATGGTAAATCTCAATGATTCAACCAAAAACCTAGAAATTAAAATCGGAATTTCAAGAAATCCGGTGAGATTCAATGGAATCTTCAACCAAAGGACACCATGGATGAACTTCAGGTCATCAGGGAGGTAGCGGAGATGGATGGGCAAGGCTGCATGCCGTGCAGCACGGTGGCGACTAGGGTTGGGCACGGGTCGGGCTGGGCCCGATTTTGAAAAGACCAGATTGAACCTGGGCTTAAAAGAAAAAGGGCGGGCCGGGTCAGGTACAAGAAATTCTAATACAGGAACCGAACCTAACTCGGCCCGTTTGAAACGGGCTGGGTCCACGGGTCCCTTTTTTTTTTTCTTTTCCTCTTCTTCTTTAGCTCTCTCAAATTCTGATTGTTCCAGGAGATATCGGACCACCACGTTCTCCTACGTGAGACCGAGATCAATATCGGCGACCTCATCGTTTACCCAAAGCTTGATTTCCTGCAGTTCTTGTCGTTTCTGAGCCACAAGATCGGAATCTTGTCGAGGCAGTTCACTGTTTTCCTATCCTTGCCGGAGACCCACCAGCGAATCCCTATCACTGGCAAGGTCAACTTGAGCGCGATTTCCCACACTGGACCGTCGCCGTTACTCCGTTGCACCTATGCACCTTAAGACTGCTGCTGCCTGACCCGTGTGTGTTCAGATTTGACTGAGACCTTGACCAACCACCATCTCCTGCATGTCTTGAACCTCTGTTACTACTTGTTGTAGGGTCCTTATGAACCTCCCGCCCAGATTGTCATCGCATAGTGCGTGTTTGAAGCCTGTATTCCACACTCGTTGCTCCATTTCGCCGCATCTTTTCCGTTCAGCCTAGAACCTGCATAGACGAACACCGCGCCAGATGGATTGTGGGATTTAATCAAAAAATGGAGATTAAATCTCCACATATTGGATAGCAAATATGGTCCGGGCTGGGGGCTTGTTTTCTTAGCAATTTGGACCCGTCCCGCCCTGTTTTAGATTTATACAAATTAGACTCGCCCCGTACCTGCCTCGATCCGCTTGTACCCGCCCCTACCTACGGGTCCAAGACCCGTTTGACCACCCCTAGTGGCGACACCTTCTGGGTGTCGGGTTCAAGGTTTTGGGTTGGGAGCAGAAGCTCCAGCTGAGTTCTTGGCTCAGGGGCCCATCGGTAGGGGGGAGAGGGCACGGTTTGAATGAACCCTAGGTTTCCTTAATTGCAAAAAAAAAAAAAATATTTATTATTATTTTTCAATTGAATTCATATACAATTCAATTAAAAACATATTGAATTTGATGCAATTCATAACCAATATCAAATTCACATAATTCAACAATTATGATTATGGGGGCATAGACAATTTATGTAGAATCTAAAATTCATAAAACGTAAAGTTGGGTCATGCATCATGGTGAATGTTCATGCTACCAGGGCTGCAAAAATATCGAGTTAAAAACTGTTGTTTTGAAAGAACCTAATTGCGTAATGATATGGATGAACTGGTTTGATGTTGAAAAATTCTTCAATGTTAGATTCCTAAGCGCAATGGTAGGAACGTGTTGATAACGTGTTGTAGCCTATTTTTTTTGACAAGTTTTGGGTGGTCGGCGACAAGGAGAAGAGAGAGTGAGAGATATGTGTTATGCAGCAAACAATTTGAGATATGGTATCATATAACATTATGGTCGATTTGGACAAAGGAGAGGAATTAGACGATGATGGCTAAAAGTTGACACTCTTAAGATGCAGTAACATACTCTGCTTATATTTTCAATGCTGATGTTGTGATCAAGTGTGCAAAACTACGTTCTTCCTGATATAAACTTATAAAAACACTAACCTCTAAGCCCAACAGGCTAAACTAAACTTTAAAATGAGGGTAAATTACATTTTACTCTCTCAAGTTTGGATGTAATTGCAACCTTATACAACATCTTTAAGACATTTTAATCACATACATTTGCTTGTTATTTATTTCAATTTCATAGTTTTGTTAAAAAAACTGTTAACTTTTGCGTTAGGTGCCTACGTGGACATCGCGAATCCCGCAATATATGTGCCATGTGGATTAATTTAAAAGAAATTATAAAAAATCTCAATTAAAAAATAAAGTTAAAAATAAATTTATTTTAAAACTTAAATCCTTCTCTCCAACCCAGATTCTCCAGCCCCTTCGTCCGCGACTCCCATGGCCGCAAGCATTGGTGGAAGACACCCACATCGACATTGACCTCCACGAACCTATCACCACACCATTCATTACAGAGATAGAGGTCGAGGATTATGGCGAGCTCAGCGCATGTGGTGGATCAGCCATCGAGCAAAACAGATCTTGTGGAGCTGCCCGATTTACATCAGATACGGATTGATTGATCAGCCATTCATAGGTTCAGATCTAGTATCCTCCGTATTGTGTCTTGGCTGCTGGTGCAGCGGGAAAAAGAGAGAAGAAGGGACCAAAACCCAGTGCGATG